TTGTCACCTTTGTGTGCAACAGTGTGCAGAACAGAGTCTGGCATATGGCAAGTGTGCACATAAGCATCTTTTGGGGGAGAGAACATATGACTACGTTAAAATAACTCTCTGGTGGACTCCAGACTTTAAACTTGGTGGATCTAAGCAAATGAAGAAAGAGAATATTTGCCACTCTCATGAAGTTAGTGTCTTTGATGAAACAAGACACAAATTTCCAGCAGGTGGGCCAACCTGCAAGGGTTGATTCTAGCATCTGGAAGCAAATTCAGAATCTCAAAGTTCACCTGATCTCTTGCATTATTTTTTCCTGCCAAAGGATCCCACCCTTGTGCTTATTTGTCCCCAGCCACCACCAGCAAGCAGCTCAGCCCCGAGGAAACCCCACCATTCAGTTTCCTTGGAGAGGCTCTGGATGCAGACCAATCCTAATTTGCAGTCATACAGAAACCCAGTCATCTCACAGAAACCCAGACTTTCTTCATTTTCCCCTTTCATATCGCATTTCAGTTGCTAAACTAAACCTTAAAACCATCTACCTAGTTCCAAAGAAGCAGCATGAATTGAGCTTGCTAATTTGTCAGATTTGGGAGATCATATGTGAAATATCAGTTGACTTTGATACAGATATCCTAACAGTAACATCTTTGTAGTCTCCTCCCTCCTCGCTCGCCCCCCCCCCAAGGACAGGATAGTGAAAACCACCGTTTAAAAATATACCTGCCAAATTCTTAGCAGCATGAGCACGTGTCACTGGGTCAGGGTTGCTGCAGCCAGCACTAACTCATCTGGAGATGCTGTTGCTTCTTTGCTTATCCACATGTGTCCCCTTGTTCTTATTCAAAAAAAAGAAAACACGAGGCCAGAACACCATCTGTAACTATTTACTGTACCCATTGCTGACTTAGAAGCTAAGTCCTCAGGGATGCCTGTAGAGGTGTGAAGAGCAGTGTCGGTGGAGCCTCTGATTCAGACAGACACACACACACACACACACACACACACACACACACACACACAGAGCCCCTTTGTTCCTACAACGGCAAGAGTGTCCCTGTCCTTTGTGAAAGAGTATGGGATTAGACACACATAGGAAAAGGAGGACCTCTGCAGAATGTGGGGGGGGGGAACTACAACTATAATTTTAATTTTTAATTTTCGTACTTGACTATGTGGTAAAGGCCCAGCTAAAATTCTTGGATAATATGAAGCAATACACCAGATAAAGGGGGAAATGTCATCAGATAGTGCAAAAAAGAGCTGGTGGCAGATTCTAAGGAAACAGTCTTCCACAGTGTTAGGAGAATTGGACATGGCCATGTCAGTAAGGGGTCTGGACACAAAAGACAAACACTTTATTTCAGAAGCCCCCAAATACATAGTAATTCTATTTTAAACAAAGACTTTAAAAATAAGATTCTGTGGCTAAAATGGAACCCTGTAGAAGTCATGAAGGCTGTCAATAGTAACCGTCGTTTCTCCTTCAAAATGTCTACAGCAATCCCTCAATATCTGTTTTCCAGATTTCAGAATTTCCCAGAGCTCTTCCCACAGCATCTGATTTTCGGTCTTATGAAATAGGGCAAAAATTATCAAGACAGCTATGCATATGCTATAACAGCATTGTAACACTGTTATGTGTCATTAATTGCCACATCGCCCATCTTTTCATGATGTTCTGTTAATTTTGGAAACTCTTGCCTGTGTGTGTATAATTGATTTGCTATGACATATGTTTATTTTTTAACTTCCAGCTGAGGTTTTGCTCAGTAATACAAGTCCCTGATTCCATGGTTTCATTGAAGGAAATCAAATTCAACTTCTGTCATATCTTTTCAGGAACTAACATCCTATTAGAGTTTAGCTTCTTCCTGTTATAGCTCTATAGACATCAGAATCTCTCCTCCCTCCCTCCTTCCCTGGCTTTTCTGTGTATGTAAGTGTGCCCAGAAGCTACCTTTCTGTAGACTCATGTTTCCTAGGTACTAAACTACAGATTTGACATCCAAACTCCTTAGGGTAAATACACACTGCCACCTTCACCTTTCTCCACACACACACCACCACTGTCTTTTTTTTTTTTTTAATAAGCAGATTAAACTCTAGCATATGAGTAGCCCGTTAGAACATTAGAACATGAAAAGCCTTCTGAGTTGTCCTGAAAACTAGATTGTGATTTGTCTAAAGAAAGGGAAATAAACAACTATTCCTTTCCTGGTAATTCTGAGTAGCAAAGTTGTTTGTATACTAAGTTCATTTACTTCATTCAAAGAAATGATGTCCTACCTCATTCCTTTCTCCCTGTCACTAAGACTAGGGTATATCTATGTTGTGGAATATTAGTTTAAGATGCGCTACATTCATTTATGCTGTAAAATATTTGTTTAATGATCCAAAGATGTGTTGCATTCTTTTATGTTGTGTTTTTTTAACTCTGCAAAGCTGTGTTACTTTGCCTGCCTGAAATACCTGATTGGTCTAATAAAGAGCTAAATGTCCAATAGGTTGGCAGGAAAGAGAAATAGGAGGTACTGCCAGACAGAATAAATAGAAGGAGAAAGGTAGGCTTGGAAGAAGAGAGAGGATTGAGAAAAGGAGCAGGAGAAGAGGGTGCCAGGGCCAGCCACCCAGCCACACAGCCACACAGACAGCCAAGAAGTAAGAATGAAAGAATGATGTATTAAATAGAGAAAGATAAAAAGCCCAGAGGCAAACCATAAAGAGAAATGGGATAATTTAAGTTTAAAAAGCAGGCTAGAAACAAGACATGCTAAGGCCAGGCATTCATAAGTAAAAATATGTCTCTGTGTATCTATTTGGGATCTGGATGGTGGGCCCTCAAAGAGTTTTTAAAAAAAAAAAACTACATCTCTCTCTACCCCAGAGCACATGTTTAACATACAGAATACATTTTGCAAATATCCTGCACATTCTAATTTGGCTCATGGGCATATAAAACAAGTTAAAAGTAATAATGTCAATATTTAAGTCAAGCAAAAATAGGTGATGGGACATACTACAACAGTCTTTCCAAACTAAGCCAGTTTCTGGTGATCAGTGTATCAAAACCCACATACATACCCCAACATGTATGCTGAGGTCAGTTAGTGTGCTTGTTTGGGAAGTTACCAGTATGTCAAAAGTGTTATAAGAAAATCTGCTGTGTGCCTTTGCTAAATAGCTGTGCATTGCACACTGTTTCACCAGGACCATCAGACTAAGGGTTCCCACTATAGTACAGTATGATTCACATAGCTTCAGAATCCAGACACCCCTCTATACACTTCTGTACCTGTGCAAGCCACCTACCTATTCACAAATGAAAAGTCATTTCAATGCTAGCTTCCTTCTTGTCTCTCTTTCCCATCCTTTCTGTATTCTTGAAACTGGTAACTATACTGCCAGGTAACTACTATAATCCATATTTTCCATATAAAGTATATTCCCTAGAAAATATCAAAGCAAAGTCATAGGCTAAGAAGCACAAGTAACTCAAGCTGAATGTAGAACTAGCTGTCAGCTCAAACTTGCCTGGTTAGAAGTTGGTCCAGATTCCAATTATTGGGCAGTATGACACAACCCATCCTCATCCTTCTATGTAAAACAAGTATTGAATGAAGGCTGCTTGAACAATCCTATCCCTACCTCAGAGGGCTCTGGGGTTCCTCCTGCGTTCAGCACTTTAACTGTGTCTCAGCTAATGTGACCATCATAGACCTGTCTGAATGGCTCATCTCTTACCAGCATAACCAACAGGACTTGGGCCCAAATTGGTAGTAATTACATCCCTGGATGTCTTTAAGACTGGGAACAAGAAATGAATTGGCCTGGCAGAAACTAGGAAGTCTTTTTTCCCCCTTAGATGAAATATATCTAGAGTTAGTTTTAAAAATTTGCTTTTAAATTTAGAAATCACAGCTAGCTCAGAAGTAGAAATAGGTCCTCTTACAGAAGACCCTGGCTTCATCTCCAGCACCCATGTCAGGCAGTTGACAAACCACCCACCACCTGGAACTTCAACTCCTGGGATTTCCATATATGTATATTCTCTCTCTCCTTCTCTCTCTCTCCCTCTCTCTCTCCTTCTCTCCCTCTCCCTCTCTCTCCCACACACACACACACACAGAGAATTAAAAACAAATAAAAGTTATAATTAAATAACAATCTAAAGATTCTAGAACAAACAAAGAATGTGAACTAAATCTTGGAGTTTGTGGTAAAGTGAATTTGTGGAACACCTAAAGTTGCATTTGGCCTTGGAGCTCACAAAAAGTCCCTGACTTTCTTTTCTACGTCAAAGAAGCTCAAAAACATTAAAACAGCAAACCTCGCATGCATAGTGAGGATAGTGAACTCTAATGTGATAACCACAGTCCTGAAGAGAGCTCAGTTTGTGCCCTGCAGAAAGGTCCTAGGAAGGAAAAGTGGCAACGTGGAGGTTTTCAGTACAGGTGGCATCCTAAGGGTTCTAGACACTCCGCTGGGCCTATAAAGGCTGCTTGCCCTAGCTGGGCTTTCACGTCCTTCCTGGAAACCTCCTTCATTCCTTCCTAAGACCCCTCTTCCACCTCCAGCTGTGGAGTCCCAGAAGTGGTTTGTGACTGGTCCAAGTGTAGCAGTTGAGAAAGCATGGCTATAAAATGAACTGTGCCCCTCCGTTTCCTATTTCATTCCTTTCTCCCTGTCGCTAAGACCAGGGTGCCTATCTCTACCCCAGAGCTCGTGTTTAACATATAAAGTACACTTTGCAAATGTCCTGCATGTTCTAATTTGGATGATTGGAGGGGAAAATATCTCCTCTGAGCACCAATTTCATGTCATTTAACCTTAGCGGTCCCTGGGAACCAATCCCTGCCCACCCCTCCCTTTGCTAGCCAGATCCTTTGCTAGCTCCAGTGTTTGCATTAATCAGCTGCATAGGCTCAGAGACTGTGTGTTTTGGTGTTGTTTGTGTGTGCAATCTCGTGCTGCTTCCTGAACGCATGTGTCCCTTCCCTTCACAGCCTACTCGACACCCAGCACCTCCCCCGCAAACCGATTCGTCAGTGTTGGACCACGGGATCCAAGCTTTGTAAATATCCCTCAACAGACACAGGTGGGCCGCTCTCATCTTTTCTGTATGTGGTGCAGCTTGTTTGATTTATCAAGTGCAGTTTAATGTGTCTTGGGACACCCCAGGCCACATGCGCCAGCTACCCTTCAGTTCCTTTCCTCCTGACCCCATGCCTCCGAGCCCAGTAGTCATGTTTTTTCTGTGTTCTCTGGAACCATAGACAATGTCCCTGGGATCTTTGCTTATGATATTGGGGTAGGCGATGGGGGTTTCTGGGCCAGACTGCGTTTGCCATGGCAAGTTAAGGTTGCTAGGCTAGACTGTGTGTATTCCCTCTTTGAGGCAGCCATGGCTGTCTAGCTATAAGCAGACAGACGTGCGCCCCATGGAACCTGGTTTCCATGGTATCAGAGCACATGTGGGGAGGGAGACCAGCCACTCCTCTCATTTTATTGCCCCAGGAAACTGGTAAACTTTCTAAAAGGAAAGAGGGTGGGTGGGGACAAAGGGTTTCTAAGCTCTTTATTAAGTTACTGATGCTGGTTCCACGGAGGTCATTGCTGGCTACTGGGAGGCAAGGTGTTGTGAGTGGGAGGGGCTAAGCAGAAAGTCATATTGAGGTGGCTGTTTAAGAGTAGAGACAGAATACCCAGAGCTGGCTGAGCATAAGAGAAAGTTGGATTTGTGTAGACTAAGAAGAGCTCTTTACACATGTTTGAAGTGACTTCTGTCCCAAGGTTTATGTGTAGACTTTTGTGAAATAGAACCAGGCCCAAGTCTGAAGAATAAACTACTCTTCCATTTCCTAACTAGAATATAACTATGCACTTTCCTAATTGACTCTAAGAAGTTATTTCGTCCCTGAGCTTCTTAGCATGGTTTGAAAATTTCTCCCTGTGGTCTGGGCATGTGCTCAGCTGTGTGATGTCAGCCGCCTAGTTTATAAGTACAGTCAGGTGCTTCCTGAATCCTACCCCTTCTTACAGGGCTCTTCCTTACTGTGCTTATCCACAGTGCTGCTTCTCCCTCCTCTCAACCTGAAACAGCATCCCAGAAAGTTCAGTACTAAGCCCAAAAGGGAGGGCCTGAGAAGAGGGACCTCTCTCCTCTTGTGTCTCCCACATCTGCTGTGTCTTCCAAACCTGCCTTGCACAATGGTGCCTGAGATTAAAAGCCCATTGGGTAAATTCCCATGAAATTCTCCCACTTATTTTTCTCACGCCTCAAGTATGCTTTGCTGGTGGTTTGAAGTTGTACCACTGCCTGAGAATATCTATCTTAGAAGATGGTTTAGCTTTGTGCTTTGGACTTCAATGTTCTGGCTCAGGGAAGGGTAAGCCAGCGGGCCTCCTCCAGTTCTGTTGGATGGTTGTTTTGTGGTTTTCAAAGCTTGGGAATACTCAGTTTGATTCATTGAGAACCTGAAAACTGCAACTTTGAAGTATCTTGTTTGTATTTTGCATGATAGTTTATACAAACTAATTCACATCATCCAAACTGTATGTGTTCCTTTGATTTATCTCTCTATAATGAAAATGTGTTTCTTTCCTGTATTACTTTGTTTCCTAAGTGCCTTGTTTAACACAAAGACTGAGTCTTCTTGATGTTGTTGACCACAAAACTTCAATTCTTAACAATCCAGATTTTTCACGCATCTGGATGAATGATGTCATGTAGGTCCAGTATTGGCTTCTAGAACTGAATTCCTTTTTGTTTTCCATTAAATATTTGGCATTGTGAGGACAATAGCTTAAATGTTTCTTACCACAGTGACACCTGTCACTTTTGGCTTGAAGAAAGCCATTCCTAATTATCTCATGAGAAACCATATAACTGGAATTGTCTTTTTCCACCCTTTATATAACTACCTAGTCTTATGACTTAAAATAAAATTTATGTACAGCAAATATTTCTATTTTATGGTATATGTTAACATTTTAAGAATAAACTGTTTCAAGTTAGTATTAGATGTAGATGGTAAGTAACAATAGACCTTAAATACAGCTTTCTTGTAAAAAGTCATTACTTGAAAGTTATTTTCTTACAGGATGTGTGTGTGTGTGTGTGTGTGTGTGTGTGTGTGTGTGTGTGTGTATCTTAGTTAGGGTTTCATTTCTGTGAAGAGACAACATGACCACAGCAACTCTTATAAAGGAAAACATTTAATTGGGCCTGGCTTAAAATTTCAGAGGTTCAATCCATTATCATCATAGTGGGACATTGTGGCATGCCGGCAGATATGGTGCTGGAGAAGTAGCTGAGAGTTCTACATCTTAATCTGCAGGCAATATAAGGAGTGTGTGTGCCACACAGGCTGCAACTTGAGCACAGGAGACCTCAAAGCCCGCCCCCACAGTGACATACTTCCTCCAACATGGCCACGCCTACTCCAACAAGACCACGCCTCTTAATAGTGTCACTCCCTATGGGCCAAGCATTCAATTACCTCGCAGATGCTAGGATCTACCATTTGATCCCAAGCCTTGCTTTTACTTTTCACAAACTTTTGAAACAGGTTCTCCGTGAATTGCGTAGGTTGGCCCTGAACTCACTCGGGCCATGATCTCCTGCCTCAGTCTCCCAAGTAGCTGTTCTAATAACCCTGAGCCACAGGTCTTCATTTGTAAGATTTTTAACAATGTAATTTGAACACTCACAGATTCTTCACTTCCTAACTAAGCAAATGTGTGGTTGTCATTAGATAGCTTTGCTGAAAGGCCTAAAAATTGGTATTAGTTGAAATTTAGGAAAAATCTTCCAAGGCAATCAGAAGTTTGCTCTCTGAACCAGTAAAGTTGGAACCCTCAGACAGATGTTTGACTTTCTCTGTCTCTGCATGAGTAAAAGTTGGAGTAATCCAGACAGATGTTTGATGTAATGCAGAAGCACCAAGATGGTAAACCCATGCCTGTAATCCAGCACTTGGGAGGCTGAGGCAGGAAGATTGAAAAGTTCCAGAACAGCCCAGGATGGATAATGAGACCCTGTCTTAGAACAAAACAGAAGAATCCAGCACTAAATTCCTAAACGGAAGTGAGATGAAATGGTCCTTCTTTCCCTCAAAACCCAATTCCTAGTAGAAATCTCTTGGCATTCCTTATGCCATGCTACAGAGGGTAATTCTTCTATTTATTTGCTGATTTTCCCATACTTTCATATTCACCGATTTTCCTGGTGAGTTTGAAAGTTGCATAATTGCTTTGAAAACATCTATCTTAAAATACAGTTTTTATACATACAATTAAATAGTTGTCATTGTTAAAAATGAAGGGCATCCTGATACTTGACACAATATGGATGAATCTAGATAACATTATGTTAAGTTGCATAAGCCCATCACCAAAAGATAAAATCTATTTTTAAATGGTGACTTTGTCTTATTCAGTCATGGTGTATGTTAATTGTGGGAAATACAGATGAGAAAAATAATAAAAATCACTTGTAGTCCTACTGTTAATGTTTCTATAACAATCCACCCTGGCTGTTTCTATACATTCAAGTATATTGCAAAAATAAGATTGGATTATGTCCACTGTTTAGTAACCTGCGGTTTCTTCTAGGTAACAAAGTATTATGACCTTCTTTCCATGTAAATTGGAAAAATTGAACATTGGTTTTTATTACACCTATGCATCATCGGCAGTGATTGGTGGGGAACGAAAGCATGGATAATTGGCAGCTGTTGTCCCCCTCCTTCACTGCCAGTCTGGTTTTTTTTTTGTTGTTGTTGTTTGTTTGTTTGTTTTTGTTTTTGTTTTTGTTTTTTGTTTTTTTTGTTTTTGTTTTTTGTTTTTCTCTAGAGAGTCCTCCTGCTGTTGAAGAATAAATGCATCCCTCTTACAGTTATGGGAGCCCATTTCCATTCACACTCCATCCAGTGGCCCTGTACATCACACCTGACTTCTGACTCTGGCTGGACATTCTGCCAAGTCCAAGCGATGGGTCCTCTACTTCCAACTGGCTCCTTTCCTTGCTTCCTCTTCTGTAATCTGGCCCTCACCTTACTCCTCCATACATTATAACTGCTCTCACCAGGAGATGTGGCCAGCTCCCTGTAGCCTATGGAAAGCCTACCTGTTGTGAGAAACTATATCTCATGTCACCCCAAAGCTCTTCCTTTCAGGATCTCCCCATGATAGTTGATGCTAACTCATGGAAAAGTCCATGAGCATTTAGTCTTGTTGTGGTGGTGTGCCCCACTCAGCTCTGAATGATACAGAACCTGCCACTCTTCAGATAGAAAGCTGGAAAGCTGGAGATCATTGTAACTACATCTTCTGATCTAATCTGACCTCTAAACACATTCACATTTCACACTTTCACAACCAGGAATACCAGTTCTCATACAGGCAGACTGAGCAGAGAATGCATATTAATTCAGGTTCTAGTTTAATCTGACTGTTCAAATAAAAAAAAAAACCAATGTTTAACCTACAGAACTCTGATGAAGATGAATTCTTTACAATGAAAAGTGAATGCTAACAGTATTAAAAGCAAGAATTTTCTCTCTACCACCAGACCTGTCAGCATTCTGCATCAACAGAGGTGTGGCGTCTGAAATGCTACCTAAACCCTAGGAGACTGCCCCAGCGTTGGTTCCAATTGGTTGAAATTTCTGCCAAATAAATCTTAGTTGCCTTACCCCTCACACTGCCTACAATGTGACCAGCTTGGCCTCGAGTTCACAGTCTATGTCTGAGACTCATGGTCATTCATCCAGAAAAGTTTCTACAGGGTGGTCCATGTCAATGACACACATTGCCTTACCTATTGCCCCTGGCACCCACTCTGCCACCTTGGGTAGGCATCCACAAAGACAGTGCAGCATAGAGATGTGAAGAGGGTTTTCAGTCCACACCAGATCTTGGTGTCATGTTTCTGAGGCCTGGCTAAGTTCCTAACCACAACTTAAGCAATCTAAAAACTCTTTACAATTTCAACCACTTTAATGTTTGTTTAACTGCTTATTATATTCCTTAACACCTACCAAATGCAAGGAATGCCAACTTTCCTGGAGATCTAAAGAGCAGAGTAGAAGAAGC